ATGGGGAATGGGGGGGAGGGTAGCCTAAAAAAACATTATAAATACCCCTTTTTTCATAAAATATCACACTCAAAATCTCAAATACTCAATCCATCTCTCACTCTCTCAAATCTCAATCTATCATTCTTAATTTCTTAATTCTTATTAATCTCTCAATTTCTCAATCTTAATATCTTATTATCTCTTTTATACATTCTTTTTTAAATATATTATATTTTAATATATAAAATTTTGAGATTATTTGAAATTTTCGAAATTTAATATTTCATTAATATCAAAAAATATATAATTTATATTTTAAATATATTCTCTATTTTTTTTTTGAAATTTTCAAAATTTTAATATATAAAATTTCGATTTTTTTTAAATTTTCTATTAAATATATTATTTTTTTATATCAAAATATATAAATATTAAAATGTCGAGAGAGTCCGGTAGAAGGTCCGTGGATATGGTCGCCGTGAACCGAAGTTTGAGGAGAGGCAAAGCTAAAGCCACCTCCGACGGTTCGACCTCACGCGTTTCTCGAGGAAGACACTCCGTCTCTTCCTTTCCTACTATCCCCGATCACTTAATCGGTGACGCTATGACGGATGAAGAATTCGACCAGATTTATTCTGGTAGAGGGGACGCAAATCTCCCCACTCTTGATAGTGTATTCGAAGATCTTGATGAAGCACATCTGGATAATTTGGACGGGGACGAGGAGCCTACACCGCAGAGCAACGACGTCGCCGTGGAGGCAGGTGAGCCCGAGACCTCTCGAGGTCCGGATAAAGGTTAAAAAAATATAAATCAGATTTATTTGTTTATCATTTTGACAAAGACACAAAAGATGGCGTAGTTTATGGTACTTGTAAACATTGTGGGACCGTCATAAAAATGGGAGTTTCCGGCGGTTATGGGGGTCCGGAAAAACACCTAAGGTCGAGGCATCCCGTGGAGTACGCCAAATACGAGGCAAAAAAGAAGGGATGCCAAGAAGTGCAAACCCAAATTTCTCGGTTTGCTAACAGAGGTAAGGGCGGCCATTTTGCTTATAGCGACGAGCAAAATAAGCAAAAAATGGCCGAAATGATTTGTGAAGAAAATTTGTCATACATGTTTTCTGAGAAACTTGGTTTTATTGATTATTGTCAACAGGCATTAAACCCTCAAGCACGAGGTTTTTCAAGAAAAACAATTAAACGAGAAATTATTCGTTAGTATAAAAATGGAAAAATAAATTTGGCAAATTTTTTTCTTAATTTTAATTCTCGTGTTGCTATTTGTTCTGATATTTGGGGTGAAACTTATCATAATTTGTCTTATATGGGTGTTACTTGTCATTGGATAGATAGTGATTGGATTATGCATTAACGTGTTCTTGCATTTCGTGATTTCAATGAACAGCATACTGCTGAAAATATTTTCCTATTGCTTCAGAGTATTCTGCGGGAATACAACTTATCTGACAAAGTGTTTTCATTTGGTTTTGATAATGCTACTAATAATACTGCAGCTATTCCTAGACTTAGAGAAATTTGCCCACCGTCTACGTCTATGGGTAGATTTCTGTATCAATGGTGTGTCTGTCATGTTTTAAATTTATGTGTTCAACAGGGACTAGATGCTATGGGCGGAGTTTTGACGAATATTAAAGAAGGAATTAAAAGAATTTGGGGGGCTCGTCTTGTTTCGAGGTCCTGGAAGATGTTCTGTAAGTCTAAGGGTAGAAAATAAATAGTTTTTGCCAAAGATATCCACATTAGATAGAATAGTACATACAAATTGATTCATCAGATTCTAAAATATAAAGAGGAACTTGCTGAATTTTTTAGGGATGAACTTCGTATAATCATTGATCCTTTTGAATTTGTTATTGTTGAAAAATTGAATGCCGTATTAGAAGTTTTTAATAACGCAACTCTTACTTTTTCTCATGTTTACCAACCAACTACAAATACATTTTTAAAAGAGTGTGTTACAATCGCAACATGTTTTCGTGAAAGTAAGGCTGATCCGGATTTGTACCCATATGTCTCTCCTATGATACAAAAATGGTGTGCTTATTATTTGTACATTCCTGATATTTATAAAATAGGTATTATTTGTGATCCACGCTTTAAAATTGAAAATTTTAAAATTTTAATTGAGTATTACTACAGTTGTTTTTTAGATGAAAATAGTTATTACTACAGTCATTTAGTAGAATGGAAAAAAGAAAGAGATAATGCTGTAACTTTTTTTGAGAATTTGTTTGAGGAATATCAAGGGTTATACGGCACTGTACAAGAAGAAACAGCACCACCTCCGCCCCCGAAATCAAAAAAAGGTTTTGCCGGAATAGTCGGTGGTCTTCTTGCAAAGAAGGGGAAGCGTGCTCATTCTTCGACAAGTTCAAGTGGTACAACAGTAAGCTCGCACAACGAACTTGCTATGTACCAGGGTGTGCCATGCGACTACGATGACGACGACGTTGATTTTGACGTGCTCGGATGGTGGAAGCGGAACGAACACATGTTCCCATGTCTCGGCATGCTAGCAAGACAAGTGTTATCCGTTCCGGTATCAACCGTAGCAGTTGAACGAGAATTCAGTGCTGGCGGCAACATTCTAATCGACTATCGAAGTTGTCTTAGCGCTGAATCTCTTGAAACACTGGTTTGCAACCAAGATTGGCTCTTGGCAAGACGTCGAGCTCAAGAGGCTTCGTACCAACTCGAATCGGAGCATTACATGAATGCAACAACAGATGGAAGTCCGAGTTCTGAAGAATAAGTTATAATTTTTTTTATGTTAATGTAAATATGTAATTAG